CACTCTTTCTCACAGACTGTCGCTCATGTGGTTTCAAATCTTGGGCTGACACAATATCCTCAATATCTTCAAGCACGGATTCACATGCAGCAGGCATCTTGAAGAAGCATTAGAAAAGACCGATGTTAGCAAATATTTGAATCGTCAGATATAATTTAAAATCAGGAATCAGATATATTTCTGCACACACTTGCAATATATCACACATAGGAGGAATATGCAGCAAATAAAGACAACCCACTACCTAGAGATATTTCCTAATGCTCTCTTTTCCCTAAAATCCCTCAAATACAGACAAGGAAAGAGCTACAAGCAATGCAGATTTTTCATATAATTTGTACCATGCCATCTTCCAATTCAGAAATCTTGCAGCTTCTCTGACAACGCATACCCAAGATATAAGTCTTCTTATCTCATATCAGACATAGTAGTGAAATAATAGGTTTATGTTATGTGATGGATATACTTCCACTTATATTACAGGAGAAGAGTGGAAGATAAGAGTATTCAAGAGCCCACACTGGAGGCTGCATGGCCCTTTTAGCTCTGTGCTTGAAACAGATTCACAGACATTTACTATGCCAAAGTCCATCGGAATATAAAATACACTATTCCTAGAATTCCTGACCTCAGAGGCCTTTCATTGGTACTATTTCATTCATCAGGACAGCAAAACGAAAATTTCTGTACTCGTGCAGAAAATGTTAAATGACTATACCTGGTTGATATTAGCATCTAGCTAGTATAATACGCCAGAAGAACATCAAAACTAATTCTACTTTTGAACTCTACTATGAACTGGCTTTCCGACTTCTCATCTAGGTGCACTCAGACTCCATCTCTGAGCAAATGCATAATAATAGTATTATTTGTTTCAAACTAATGCTGTTTTTCAAAAGAAATAAGTTCAAGTTCACTGCTTCTACACCAAACACAGTAAATTTAATGCAAATGTCATATCACTAGCTTGTTCTGGAAGCTGTCCAAATAAAGGAAAATATTTTTTGTCTACAAAACTGAACATGCTTTAAACAATTATATCATACAGATATCAGAAAGAAAAGTCACTTAAAGGCTTTTTAAATAATCTCAGAGGAACTGCGAGAGGGGTTGGGGGTCTTCTGTTCTTCAAAAGAAAAAAAACTACCCTAAAGAAAAGATTATTTCTAGGCCTTCAATACAAGCCTGCTGTTCTGGTTTAAACAACGGCCAAAGGTAAATTTTCAGTTATCAGCAAAGGATTACCTAGAAATACCAACACGAACTCTGTCCGTATGGTACGGCACAGCAAAATAGCATGGCTTAGCTGTTCAGATGTAGTCTCATCCAGACACTGAAATGCTTTGCTTAGGGAAAGTCCATTTAAGCGCCATGCCTGCTATAAGTCACAATGCTCCACATCACTAACATCACAGAGAAAAAAAAGTGACATCACCATACCCTACTTTATACCACTGACAGTGTGTACAAATACATAAAGTTACCAAATCAACATAAGGAAGAAAAAAAATCTTTTTTTTTTCTTTCAGAAGCATATCTGATATAATGAAACAGCTAGCAAAACAAGTAAGCTTAATTTACTGCCACGGCCCATAAGAAAAAGAACACAAACTAGAAGTCATACCTTTTTAAGCAAGGTCTAAATCCTCTCAGACAATGATTCTGGAAAAAAAGATACGGCATGAGCAAATAGGACTAGCAGACAGACTGTGCTACAAGTATTTTTCATTCTTTTGCAGAAGTCTCAGTATCCTCCTTTGACCTGCATTACAGCCTCCAGAGAATAACGTGCTGACAAGGCAGAACATTAGCCAAATCTTCCCTATCCATTCCTGAGCAGATGCACTAATCTGAGTCTCCTTCTTTAACAGAGTCACATTATTTTTGCAAAAATCTGATGTATTTAGATTATTTTACACTTCTCTTCCAGATTTCAAAGTCTTTCATCAGGACTTTATAATCTGTAATGAAAGAAGGGAAGGAGAATGGAATTGCATAAGCTTCATTTTCTTCAGAAGTCTGATTAACAGTAAAGTTTACCCAAACACATTCAGAACACTTTCTACAAATACAGGAAAGTCTTCTTAGAACAGGTAACACAAAGAGATATTGTAGATAAGGAGTTACACATGAGATCTCTTTTTCAGAAGCAAGTACCTGCAGATTCCAGTATATACTCTGACTAGAGTACTTGGGCTTTAAGACTGAAATTGGAGAGGGCAATAATAAGATGAAAAGTTAACTAA